CGACGAGGAGGTCCGGCGAGGCCTGGCCTGGCTGGCTGAGCGGCCGCGGTCCGCCCGCCGTTGTGAGCTGCCTTGCCTGCCTGCCTGTCTCTCTTCTGTTTCGGGCCCCGACCCCACTCTCTCTCTGGCTGGCGGGCAGCCAGGCAGGCAGGCGAGCACAGCAGCGTCAGGCGGCAGGCGCGTGAAATCTCGTTGGCTGCTGGCCTGCTTGCCCCGCACGCCCGCCGCCGCCTAGCTTTCGCTTCGCTTCCGGCCTGGCTTGACCTGGCCTGGCCTGGGCTGGCCTGACCGCCTCTCCCCCCTTTTTGGATGGAAGACTCGCGAGCGTGCGTGGGGCCCATGCGGCGTGCTGCTCCAGCCCAGACCCGCGGCTGAGCGGCTGGCCCCTCCAGCCTGGCCTGCTGCCTCTGGCCCCATCATCCTGCCCATCAGCCAAGCCGATGTCGCCCTCATCCTCCATCCTTCCTGCATCCAGCTCTCCCGCCATCCTGCTTCCCGCACTCCCTCTCTCTCTCTCTTCCTCAAGGCTGCCCTTCCATCGTCGGGCTCGTCTCCTTCCCACCACCACCACCACCACCACCACCATCGTCGTGACAGCCGCTCCTCGCCCCCTCCACATTCCCGGGCCGGACCGCCGTAGAGCATATACCCTCCGCCGCTCGCTCCGCTCTTTCTCTCCTTGCCTCTCCTTCTGACGTCATCGCCTGGTCGCTGATCCTTCAGCGCTTCACCGTCCTTCACCGACATGAGCACCTCTGTGAGTCCGCCGCTACAGATGCCAGGCCTGTCCTTGTCGCTTCGGAGTGGTGAGGGCGCACATAGAGAGCGGGCGAGCGGATCCTGATCAGACCTGTCCTTGCGTCTCCTGACCTCTGTCATTCCCTCGAGAAAAGGCCAAGGCCGAGCAGTATGCACGCGAGCTCGACTCGGCGCGGCTCCGCGGCGACTGGACGGCTGATCAGCACAGCCAGTCATCTAAGGTTGCGCTGCCCTGGTCCGAACTGACCCGCAAGTTTGCCAAGCACAACCCCGAGCGAGCCTGTGAGTTCGCCGCCGCTACCTTGCGCCTGACTTGCACCGTCTGTGCGCTCTGAGAGGATGCCCATGTGCTGAAGCGAATGCATGCTCTCTGCTCCCCCAACGACAGCCCACGCCAAGCTGGCGACGGCCGAGCAACAGCTCAAGGCGAACCTGCACCACTTCTACGCCGAGGCGGGCCACACGGATGCAGTCCATACGGGCGACTTCCGGTCACGGATCTCGTCCAGCGACACGACAAGGTTCCCGCCCGCGCTGAAAAAGGGCGAGAACGGCGTGGGTTGGTCGAGCGAGGCGGTGTCTGAGCTGGCCGACACGATGCTCGAGTTCAAGGGCGACGGCCGGCAACGCTTCGCCGCCATCTCGCTGCGTGCCCTGGCCCTGTTTGCGCTCGGCCGCGACGAGGACGCCGTCGACCTGCTCCACCGCGAGCGGTTCATGGAAGAGGCCCCCGCTGCCGCCGACGCCGCAGAAAGTGGCGATGGCTACTTTGCCGCGCTGGTCCTCCAGGGCTTCGTCGTCTACGGCATGGCCAACGAGCGCCTCCACGTCGCCAAGCAAGAGGCTGGCTACATTCCCTTTGCGCTGGCGGGCTATGCGCGGGCCATCGACCTCCACGAGGCGGCGCGCGGCGGCAAGCGGGCCAATGCGCTGCGGGGCCTGCCCGCCGACGAGATTGAGCGGTGGGCCGAGACGGCCCTCTACCGCAACGCGCTCCTCTGCCTGCGCCACAGCGACTTTGGTCACAGCCTCAATGCGCTGCGCGCCTACCATGCCCACGCCAGCCGCTGGCCCACCGACTTCCGCCTGCCGCAGCGCAACGTCGTCTACCGCTACTATCTCGAGGCGCTCAACCGATCCGCCGAGGCGGGCGCATACACGGACCCGCCGCCGACGCCGCCAAAGAGCCAGGAAGACTGGAGGAGCATGGCCTACCAGCAGTCGGTGGCCGCCACGGTCGCGTCGCGCGTCCAGGTGCGCGACTTTGAGTCGGAGCGCATCAAGCTCGACCCGCTGGCCCGAAGGCCCAGCCCGGCGTTCAGCGCCAAGCGCGTCACCTCGCGCACCGTCTCCAAGCGCCGCCCGGCACATCACCGCGCGCTGCGAGCGCCCTCTCCTTCGTGGTCCAACGAGGCGCTGACGCTGCAGCGGTCCGCCGCCGCCTCGCTCCTCAAGGCCTCCGCGTTTCCCAAGGCCGGCACGATCAACGCGGCCGTCCTCGATTTTGCTGATGAGCTCATCCGCGGTTGGGAGCTCAACGGCGAGCTGGGCGGACAGCAGGCCGACGACGTCGTCGAGGTGAGTCATGACAATTATGCAGCGCGAGGTGGATCGGCACCCGTGAATCGGTTCCTGCTTCGACCCTAGCTGACCTCGTACCTCGCGCGCGGCATGGCTGCGATCATCTGTTGCCCCCGCTGCGTCCCTGCAGATTCTCTACAGCCTCGTTGGCCTCACGTTCCACTCGCAGCGCATCGCCCGCCACCTCGTCCGCCTCCTCTTCGCCGCCGAGGCCCACGACGAGGCCAAGCGCGCGCTCCAGGCCTATATCCAGATTGTCGAAAAGGCGCGCGAGGCCGATCAGGGAACCACGGCCGCCCAGGTCGCCAGCACTCAAGCCGCTGCCGGCGGCGACGCAGGCAGGGCCCAGACCGAGTCAGCGGCGTCGCGCGATGCCATCAAGGATGTCGACGACGACGCAACCTATGCCCGCACGCTGGCATTTGGCGCCTACGCCGTCGGCCGGTACTGCGGCGACTACACGACGGCCGACTCGGTGGCGCGCAAGGGCCTCAAGCTGGTCGACGACCCCAAGCGCGGCCTCGATGCCAGCCTCGTGGCTCTCGTCAAGAGGGTGGCCGGCAGCACCCGCGCGGCGCTTGCGGTCCAAGGTGAGTTCCGGCAGACGGCCGATGAAGGGGTGTCACGCCCTCTTTGATTGCGTCAGCGATGTTAGCGAAGGTTCTGTACACGACGGCTGGCTGACGCTCGGCTCGAGCCTTCCTCTGGCTCTGTCCTCGCATCCTCCCCTCTGCCTCGGCTTGTACCATTCCTTGCCCCGCTGCAGCCGAGCCGTCGCGGCGTACCGAGCTGCAGTCCGAGGCGCTGGCCCTCCTCACGGCTTCGATCCAGCTCGACGGCCAGTCGTCCGAGGCCTACTACGCGCTGGGCTACCTCCAGGCCGAGACGCGCGACATTGCCGGCGCCATCCACTCGGCCCGCAAGGCCGTCGAGCTCGAGCCGGCTGATGTCGACGCCTGGCACCTGCTGGTGCTGCTCGTTTC